GGCAGAGGCAGCCTTTGGTCTCAGGGAGGGGTGCCCCAGCACTCACCGTGCGGCTCTACAGGTCATGCTGAGGCTGGGGGACCCTGTCCTTGGAAAGCCAATTGCAATTCCAGTCGGAGACCAGCCCAAAAGATCTAAGTCTTAAGTGGGTTCTAAGTGGTTCTGAGCAAGTGATCATCCAAGTGATCTGAGATGTGACTTATAAAGGCTTTGAAGCTCCCCCGAAGCGAAGCGGCGATTCTTCAGTGGCCCTTGTTAATTCATCTTCTGCTGGAGAAATTGGTAACATGGTGTCAAAAGCTTTCCTCACTACAGTTGGTCAACATCGTATATTTTTCACTTGGTACCTTGTTAGGTGGTGATTGGCCTCCCCAATCTGCTTCTGTTTGCTAGCAAATTTGATGAAAAACAAGTTGAAAAGTTGGTCTCATAAATGGTCCAGAAGTTGGTGTGTCAGGGGTCCTCCTCAGGTGGTGCCCACAGCTGCTGCTTTTTGGTTTGGTCAGGTCTGCGACGAGCCGCACCCCCTGCTGGTGAAGGAGATGATCCAGCACTGTGTGAATGCCAACATCGACGAAGCCTACAAGGTCTGCTTCCTTCCCCTCCTCTCCAGTCCCTCCTCATTCCCGAGGGACCTTTCCCTTCTTGAGCAGGGCTGAGGGAACTCTCCTTAATTCTTAAAACGATGCTAGGTACACCCTACAGAAGAGAAAACCGTGGTAGAGGCTAAGTTCCCTTCTCTGTATCCCACTGTTTAAAAGTGGTAGGCCTGGAATTCCAAGTCATGTCTTTGCGCTATAATTATATCCTCTGCACCTAACACATGAGGGAGGACCAGCCCAACTGCTTACTTTGCAGTGAAGCCATCTCTCTCTGTTAAGGGGAGATTTCCCCTCCGCCCTCCCAAGGAACGTAAGGGTGGGCATCCTGGGACCCAGCAGTTCCCCAGTCGCCAGGAGAGGAGAGCCCAGGAGGTTTCTGGCCTAATTAGAGTCTCGTTCTGTGAGCAGGTTCCAGTGGGCACCACTGGAGTTCCGGTGACCCTCAAATCATGTGGGTAGCAGTGGTGTGATCTGAGCCCATTGGTCTGACCACAGCGGGTTTCCCTGCTCCCATTAAATTAGGCCAGAAGTTGACTTTGAGTTTAGGGCAGGGCTAGACCTAATGTGAAGCCGGAGTGCAAGGCAGGAGACAGAGGCAGAGACCAGGCACCAGGACTAGATCACTGAGTGGCCCTGAAGCAAGCCTTCAGATTTAGGCACCCAGAGCTCCCCTGCGCCCTGAATTTACCCCACATGCCCAAGCAAAGGCCAAAACAACTGACTCCAGACCCTGTAGTCCAGACAGGGTGGGCTGGGGGGCTGAGAAGGCAGAGGCTGAGACCGCTGTAACCTCTGCGCTGGTCAGGGCGTGCTCGGGGCTGCTCCTGCGGACGGTGTGTCAGGACTCGTAGCCAGGGAAAGCATAGCAGGTACAGGGTTCTGCAGCTTCTGGTCTGGGGGTGATTAATAAAGTGTTTAAGAGCCTTGGGGACGGTAGCAGACTTTGCCATACATTTGAAAACATTTGCAATATTATCTTTCTGTCTGCTGGAAAAATCAGTTAAATTATCCCCACATGATACATAGGATGTGACCCGCCAGCTCCATGGTGTTCAGCTAGTTCTCAGAGTCACTTGGGTTTTGTAGGATGATCTGTCTGCTCCTAGCAATGTGACAGGCCCAAGACTGGTGTGGTTTTAACCTTATTTGCTCTTGAGTATCCTTGTTGTTTACAGATGTCCTCTTTTTTTCTAGATTCTCGCTCACCTATGGCATCTTGGCTATTCACCAGAAGACATCATTGGCAACATTTTTCGAGTGTGCAAAACCTTCCAAATGGCAGAATACTTGAAACTGGAGTTTATTAAGGTGAGTGAGAGTATAGCCAGGCCTCTCTCCTCAAGAATGTGGTGGCCACGCTGTGGTTTTCTTGGTTTACTCACATCCTGGCACCCGGAAGATGCTCAGTGAGTGTCCCCGCTTGTCCTGCGGGCTGGGAGTTTGTTTAGGCCAGTTCTGCCAGTCAGTGACCTACTCTTCCTTAGGATGACTCTCTTCATTAGAGATTTGTTTGTCTTTAAGGTCAGATTAATTGAAGTATAATTTACATAGGGTAAAATTCAGCTGCTTTGGGGCCTTCTGTTGACCAAATCATTCAGTCATGTAAACACAATTTTAATTACCCCAAATTTATGTGCTCCTTTGTAGTCAGTTCTTCCCTCCAACACCTGGAAACCACTGGTCTACTTTCTGTTTGGGGGAACAGAATCTTCTAGAATTTCATACAAATGAAATCAAGCAAAAACGTTTGGCTTTTTTAGTCTGGCTTTTTTCACTTAGCTCAATGCATTTTGAATTTATTCATGTTTTTTGCTGAGAGTATGCTGAGTAGTATTCCATTGTATGGAGGTAAGATTGTTTGGTCAAATGGTAAGTGTAAGTTTAACTTTATAAGAAACTACCAAACTGTTTTCCAAAGTGGCTATAGCATTTTGTAGCCTACCAGCAGTGTGTGAGCATTCCAGCTGATCCACATCCCAGCCAGCCCTTGGAATGCTCAGTTGGTTTTTTTAAAGTCATTTTAATAGGCATATAGTAGTATCTCATGGCTTTAATTTGCATTGCCTAGCAACTACTGATGTCGAGCACTGTTTCATGTGCTTATTTGCCATCCAAAATCTTCTTTGATGAAGCATCTGTTCAAATCTACCTAGTTTTTTGTTGTTGTTTTTTAAAGATTTTATTTATCTACAGAGAGGGGAAGGGTGGGAGAAAGAGGGAGAGAAACATCAATGTGTGGTTGCCTCCACACGACCCCCAACTGGGGACCTGGCCTGCAACCCAGGCATGTGCCCTGACTCCAACCGACAACTCTGGTTCGCAGGCCGGCACTGAATCCACTGAGCCACACCAGCCAGGGCCAAATCTACCTAGTTTTTAATTGGGTTGTTTTCTTATTGCTGAGTTTTGAGAGTTCTTTATATAGTCTGGATGCAAATCTTTTATCAGATATGTGTTTTATAAGTATTTTAATATTAACTTTTTCTTTGTATTAACAGTATTTCACAAAGAAATACCAACATCCTTTTAGGAAATACATTGAACTTTAGTTAAACATAATCCATGACAACTTAAGAGTTCATTTCTAGTTGGAGTTTGAGTTCATTGCATCAGTCTTGAGTAAGCCATTAGTACACATTTAAAAAAATACATTCCTCCCTCACTTAACCCAATTTAAATTTGATTCGTTTTTCAGGAAATTGGATACACTCATATGAAAATAGCAGAAGGCGTGAACTCCCTTCTGCAGATGTCAGGGCTCCTAGCCCGGCTGTGTCAGAAGACAATGGCCCCGGTGGCCAGTTAGAGTGGAGAACTCGTTGACTGGGCTGCAAGATTCCCAGAAAGGCAGGAGTCACAGCCTTCTGCTTTGGGAGAAAATGCTGCCCGGATCCGTAGTGGAACTCGCCTTTCTGTAGCACGTCATGGCCTTCCTGCTGCTCCCACGCATCTGCAGGGGCATTTGCTTTCAGCCCCGGGCTCAGGAATGTGGTGACAGGGGAAAGGCCCCAGAGAGCCTCCAGGGCACAGGCCCAATCTGGGCACACGTTGGTATTTAGCTAATAAAACCGTACAATACTGTCAATAATAGTGTGGCAACACTAGGCCCCGTTGTGCAAGGCCTGCTTCCTGTTTCTGTGTGCACCCTTTGCACGCTATAAGTAGAAAAGGTGATTTATATAATAGACTGGTCAAGCTAATCTGAGTTTTTCTAGAAAACTGGAGGACAGTTCCACATGAGGCAGGACTGACTATTTAGAAAAACTCTCACCAGGTCACCTTTTCTGTGCAGTACTTGGTGCTTTAGATTTCTCAGTGAATTTAAATTATCTTCTAGAATTCCTCCTCCTCCTCCTTTTTCTTCTTTGACAAGGTACTATTTTTTATTTTCATTTTTTTTATTATGAAAAATATCAATTGTACATAAAGGAATGATATAGTGAACCTTCATCATCCATCCTAAAGTTACACCAACACATGGCCCATCTTGTTTCCTCTGCATTCCTCCCACCCTGCCCCGCTCTGGGATTGTTCTGAAGCAAATCCAAGACATCCTTTCGAATGGTATTTTTAAGGTGGTTGGGGTGGGGGGTGACTCAGCTTCCGTGATTAGCGGTCTCGTGAAAAGCTTTGATTGAAAACACTTGTGTGACATGCTGGCACTCCCGGCCGTGCGTGCCCGTGCTGCGCATAGTGCTGGCACCGCTGGGCGGCCCGTCTGCTTTCCTCCTTGGTCCACAGTGGCTGTGCTGCTCCACCCTGAACTGGGAGCAGGAGGGAGCGGGGAGGGGAAGGGCCTGCTGTACTTCTACTTAGTGCTGTCCCTCCCAGGCTGGTTAAGTCGCTTGCCCAGAATATTACTGGGTAAGGACACAGAAAAGGCTCTGAGACTTCTGGCTCTTTAAGTTTGGGTTTCTATTAAGAGGAAGAAATTATTTAAGGTCCTCAAAAGTTGCAAGGTGAAGTCTTACAAAATACATGTCCTTTCTCAGTCTTGCCTTTTGCCTGGAGACGGGATCCCTGTGAGGTGAAGAAATGAGTGTGTCCAGTTTGCAGGTGAGGGGCCCAGAGAAACATCACGGTTCCCACACCTGTAACCAAGGAGGGGTTCCTCCTGCAGCACCTCCCCCCTCCGCCAAACCCCTATTCAGGCTTAAACTGACCTCTGAGCTTATGAGGTCGGGGCTTCAGAATGTGAGGCGACAAGTGGCCACTGCTGTGTTCTGGATGTTTTTTTCCTAATTTGTGGCATTAATTTCTCATGGAAAGAATTGGTGTGGCATCCCGGAAAGAGCTTGCCTTGGGGCCCCAGGTCCTGTTCCCAGACCTCCCTCTCTCTCGGCCTCAGATACTTGCTATGAAACAAGAGGCTGATTGATTCCCCTGGTTTTACAAGAATCAGGAAAAGCAGACACTGGAGAATTACTGCTCTTAAACTAGGAAGGTTTATTGAAAAGGTTTTGATTGGAGGAGGCATTTTTCCCTGCCTGGCTCTTCTGACTCAAGGTCCCCTCGGGCTTCTGCCTGTGCCGAGAGACAGCCGTGCTGCGCAGCCCACTGAGCGGAGGCCAGCCCTGCAGCAGAGGCCTCCGGCGCGCCTGAGGGGTGCCGCCGCTGCACCCCACCTGCACCCTCTGCGGAACTGACACACCTTGTCCACAGGATATGCCCACAGAAGGGGGCATGCGGGCAGCTGTAGCCTCATCCTCTGAGCTGAGGACCAAAGAAAGGAGCCCCAGGGCTCCTCGTAAGTGTCTGCTAAAGTTTGTACGTGTAATGCTTACAGGAGACAAGTTAGACAAAACATACCCTGGAATGTAGAACATTAAATATGGCTCCATCTGTATAAATTAATTGTACCAACTTATCAATCACACAAAAAAATCACAGCAACTGACATTGGTAAGCGATTTGGAATCCAAATCCAAAGCAGAAAAGAACAAACACCAGTACTGTGTGATGTTTTAGGTGTGGGGATGGAAATGCGACTTGCCCTAAGCACTGGGCATTCAGTTACAGCAGGAGCTGCACTGCCCTCAACACCAGGCTGGCTCCGCGTGGCCAGAGGGATGGTCCTCGGGACATGGTGCACCTCCCATGAGTAGCCGTTGGGGTCCAGAAGTTGAGCGGCTCTGGAGAAGTGATCGTTGGGAGACAGTCAATGTTCCTATGAGCTTTGGGTTCCTTGGCTCCTACAGTGAAGATGAAAATGGTTGGCTGAAAGGTTTACTTTGACTAGCACTTAGTTCCCTTGGCATGGGAGTGACTGGTTCATCAAGAGGAGGGACGCACAGTGACAGCCCGTGTTCAGCTGCACTCCCACAGCTAGGCTGAGGAGAGCCTGCTGTCAGACCGAGTTCTTCCAGGAGCTTCTGCTTTTTCTAGGAAGCCCTGATCGTGCTCTTTGGTTCTGACTAAGGCCTGGGTCATTCGGCCCTGCCTTCAGTGTCTCTCTCCGGCCTGACTTCCCTTCTCCGGCCGCAGGTGCCCACTTCATATTCCCCCCTGCCTGGGTCTCCAGTTAACAGGCTCAGAAATAAGCTGGCCTTGCCCACAAAACCCACTCTGCCTGTAATGTAGCCTCCTAGATGTCAGTGGCCAACAGAGACATCCTCTTATTGCTCAGACAAAAACTGCAACCCTCTTCAACCCCTCCACCTTGTACCCACACCCAGGGGATGCCCTACTGACTGCACGAGACATTCAGCAGCTACCTCTCGCTGTCTTCCTGGGCCAAGGTGGCATTTTTTGTGTGTGTGGACTCAACTCCCTGCTCCCACTGCTGACCCCCTGTATATAGTCATTCCTTGGTGTCCTTGGAGTTGGTTCCAGGATTGTCCACCCCACCCCACCAGATCCCAAAACCTAAGGATGCTAAAGTCCCTTATGTAAAATGGTGTCTTTGCATTTGGCCACTGTGGGGCATGCCTGCACACCAGTTGGGCGGATTCAGTGTACTGCTCAGCAAATTCAAATTTTGCTTTTTGCAACTTTCTGAAGTTTCGTTTTTGTTTTCCTCGGAATATTTTCCGTCTGAGGCTGGTTGAGTCCCAAGGATTTGGAGGGCTGGCTGTTTTCATTTCTCTATTCAGCGGCCAGTGATCCTTTAGAAATAGGAAGTCGCTTTGTGTTTCAAACTTTCCCACGTTCCCCCTCTCTACCCCCAAATCTCAGGCAGGGAAACCCAGATACTGGCCCTACAGGACTGGCCTCTACCTCCTTCCCACCTCTACACTCCTTGTCCTCGGTGTTCTTCCCCAGAGGGTGAGGAAGGGGCTCCAAAAGGCTTCCCTGGACCCCTGCCTAACTCCCCACCTGACTCCCTGTGCCTCCCCTGCTGTGTGTGTCTCCAAAGGACTTACTACCACCTAGAGTGCCGTGTTTCCTGTCTGTCCTATCTCCTGTCTCATGGTGTCTGTTGTTTCTCTCCCACTACAATCTCCGGCATTTTGTGATTATGTTTATTACTGTGTCCCCAACACCAAAGGCAGGACTTGCCCCTGGCAGGTGTGGAAAATGGGTGAATGAATAAACAGTGGACCTCTCTGCACTTGGGCTTAAACTCCCGTGGCGGCCTCCTGAGCAGCCCAGGCCCACCACCCACTGAGAGGACTGCACATGTCCCTCCCATTGGGACTTTGGACAGCCTTCAGGGGCCCTGGGATGGATCCTGCCTCTCCAACATCCCCTCCTCCACTTATTCTAAGTGTGACCTCAGGCAGATGGCTTAGTGCTAGATGCCTTTGGGGTGGCAAGGGATGGTGTGTGTGAGCACGTGGCACCATGCTGGCTGGCAACGTGGCTGCTTACCACAGTTCAGCCACTACAGTCATCGGCACTATCGTCTCCCAGTCCTGCCCCCTGTCCCTGAGCCCAACACTGGCCAAGCCCTGCTGGGCTCATGCTTCATGTGCAGTGTCTGGCCTAAGACACAGGTCCTATTAGCTCCATTTTGCAAATGAAGAAATAAGTCTGGGAAGGTTAAGTCTCCCAAGTTTGCAGAGACCCACCCAGTGCCCACCTTTATGCAAAGACTCACCAGCCTTCCCTGCCAGCAACCCACAGACAGACCCTTGTGCTTGCCAGGAATCTGTCACTCCACCAAGCCTGCCATGGGATTTGGGGGCAGGGTGGGCAAGGACTGTTTAGGAGGCCCAGCACCCTGTAGAGCCACCCCATTCCAGCACGCATGGGTGCTGAGCCGTGGCCACCACCATGGCCCCTCCAACCCGAGCTCTCATCTCCCTTGGAAAAGGGGCCCCTTGGCCAGTGAGGCCACCCCCCTGCACCAAACCAGGTGTACCTTCTCTCAGGTCTGCCCCGGGCTTCCACGGCTGCCACGTCCCCGTTCACATAATCAGGCTCTTCATCATCCTCATCTGGACTTCCTGCAGGCAAGGGAGGTGCTCCTCTCGGGACTTTCCCTGTGGACCAGCAGGTGAACCATCGGCTGGTTCACATGGACACACCCAGACATGTTCCCCAAGCCAGAACACCCACCCGGGGCTCAAACCCCCAGATGCCACAAAACAGCCTGAAGGAAAAGGCTACTCTGGACAATGTGTCTGTCCTGCTCCTGGGATTTGCCAGATTTGTCCTGCCTGGGAAGCAGAATGAGTGGGACTCCATCTATACAGCTGGCTGGACTGCCCAGGAGGAGGACCCCCTCCTCCGGAGGCCAGGCTGCTGAGTGGCGTCCTGGCATGGTTCAAGGCCAGGGAAGCCGCTGATGCGCTGAAGGCTTCACTTGAAATTAGCTGAACCGGTTACGGGGGAACCCATCCTGCCTGGCTTCCTCCCAAGCCAGACCCCCCCAACTCCCAACTCCCCACTTCCCTCCCCCCATACTTCCAGGCTTGCTGCAGGTGACGGCTCAGGAGCCCCTGCTCTCAGGCCACATACCCACGACCCTTCTGGACTCCTGCCACTGCTGGATGGAAGCTGAGTTCTGATAATCCTCAGATTCCTCATCGTCTGCAGGGAGACAAACCAGGAGAGGGGCTGCGGGTGGGAGCCGCCTCGGCTAGTCCCCAGATCAGTGAGGTGCCACGGCCCCTTCAGAGGGGCATCCTATGCCCTCGTGGAGAGCAGCCCCTCGGGGGAGGAAGGGATCCCACAGAGCATTCCCACCGATGATGGGGCCTTCTCCCGGGCCACGGCACAGTGCTTGACCCAAAGGCACTGGAGGTATCGGTGAACTTTCGGGCTTCAAGGTGGGCGATGCCTTTGAGCCATGAGGACCTCGGATCTCACCAGCCCCTGCTCAGCTCCAGGCTGGCAGCCTCACCTGAGTCCGGCTGCTTCTGCTTGCAGATGAGCACGTTCTCATAGGAATTAGCATCGTCGTCATCTGCTGGGGAGAAGGGAGAGGACTCTGGTTAGGGTGACACCTGTCCATCAAGCCTGGCTCTTCCTCTCTTCCTCCACTCAGCACTCCTTTGGCAGATGATTTGTCCTGCCAAGCCCCCAGACTTCTGGGTCCTCAGGGCCCTTTTTAATGGGCACTGGCCTCACTCAGCACCTGCCACCCTGGGCTCTTCTGTCCTCCAGGGTCACCCCCAAATGCACTGAGGAGGAGAGGTTAAGGGACAGGAGGCTTGCATTCAGGCCCAGAATGGATAGTTGGACGGAGGGAGGCCCAACTCTATCAGGCAGTGAGGGGCAGGGAGAGCCGCTGGGGGCCCAGGAGAAACAGGAACCAGGTCTAAGCTTATGTGGAAGCGGAGCCCTTCAGGCAGGGCTGGCTGGGCTGGCGGCCTTTGCCCCGGCTCTGGGGCTGGGTGTGGCGCACCAAAGCCTGGCACCCTGGCATCTCCCCCCACCTCCAATGAGGAAGCTGAGCTCTAACCACTGTCCCATCCAGTGTCCATTTACATCATCAAAAGGGCTCTGAGCAATGAGGGTCCCACCAGTATTTGGAAGTGGCAGAGGGGAAGAAGAGGACCCCGCTCCCTGCCCACCATGGTACCTCACCCCCACCCAAGCACAACCCAGACAGGAGCCCAGGCCTGTGCATCTCCCAGCAGGCACTACCTTCGCTCCGTCCTCAGCTTCTCTTTCTGTAAAGTAAAGGTGTTAAGGGCCTAGAGTTCCAGCATCCTCAGAGCCTGCTGGGCTCAGCGGCCATCTGCCCCATCCAGGGCTTTCCTCCTAGGTTCCCCTGTGTGCCCAACCCTGAATGGGGCCTGGATGACAAGGGGCCCGGATGACAAGGGGCCCAGCTTTCCTCCTGTCCCTGGAGCCCTCTATCGCTCCCCCACTCCTGCGGTCCACCCTCCGACGCTCACACACCCTTCCCTCCTCTGCACCTGGGCTCCTGCGCATGGTGCGAGCTCCCTCATCTTCCCTCCGCTCCCCAATCCATGCGCACTCAGGCCCAGTCTCCTTCAAGTCCTCCTGAACACCTCTGGTGCCACCAGTAAGCTGAGCTCCCGTGCTCCTCCTCCCTGTCCCCCACCTCTCCCTCCGCCTCACCTTCCTGGGGTTTCGGGAACTGCCCCCAGAGGTAATAGTCCATGGTGATGGGGTCTCTGGCAGAAAACACAAACACAATAGCAGTTGCTGGGCAGGCCCGTGGTCAGGGCGGGGGCCCTGGGGGAGCAGTGAGGCAAGGGCTGCCCTGGCCATCACTCCCCCAGGGCCCACGGGAGTTGGGCCAGGGTCTCCCCAATCCCTTTGTGCCGCTTCCCTGGCCCCCTGAGCTCTCCCGAAGCTGAGGGGTGGCAGCCTGGCACTAGCCACCTTGCCATGTGACCCTAGGCAAGTCTCCACCTTCCCTGAGCCTCAGTTTGCCCATCTGTGAGATGAGATATCTGAGGACCCTTCCTCTCTGGGGCTCCAGGTGCCCCCATAACTTGTCTCTGACTGGGTGATGCAGGATGAGTTCTCCCCCACAGCCCCTCCCCAGAGGAGGGCCATGTTCCTGTCACTGTCCCCATCCCCACAAAGCCATCTGAAGGGAAATGATGCAACCAAGAGCCTGTCTGGGCCTAGGCTGGAGGGTTCTGGGGCAGGAGCCCTTACTTCATAAATAAGGAAGTTCAGGGCAGGGGTGGGCTGGTGTGGGAGGAGGGGCCAGGGCTGGGCGAAGGCCACTCACATGTAGGCCGCATCTGATCCTTGTCTGCTTCCTGCAGGAGGAGGCAGAATTAGGCCTAAGTTCCAGGAGGTGGCCCCCACTGCAGCCCCCACATCCCTGGAGCCCACCTACCTTTTCTGAAATTCTGGTACCTTGGGGATGCAGAGTCTGGAAGAAAGGCCAAGGGCTTCCTACCTTCTGCACACCTTTGTCCCTGTTCTTTGTCCCCTCCCCCTCGAGGCCAAGCCCATGAGGCCTCCCAGCCTGGCTGTGTGTCTCCTCTTCAAAGGCCTCTCTGTCAGGCCTGGACCCCCTGCCCCCCACCCACGCCTCCCCTGCACCTCTGCACAGTATATGTCTCAGTCTCCCCTCACCCCTGCCCCGCTCCTGTGTCCGAGGCTCACTCACCATCAAGGCTGGGAGAGAACTGCAGCAGCTTATCCTTCCTGCAGGGGAAGGGAGGGAGGGGCTGAGGAGGGGCAGAGGGGCAAGGGATGGCCCGGGGTTTGGGAGGTTGGAAGGCCCTCCAGCCTCCTGGTGGGGCTCTGGAATCCAGCCACACAACTCTGAGGTCTGAGGAGGGGGTAAGGTCCTAGCCTGGGTCCAGCCAGATGGGCACCCCTGGGTCCTCATGGCCTCCCTGGGAGCTGCGACCCCTCTGGGTCCAGAACAAGGAGCTCATTCCTACCGTGCTGGTGCCAGGTCAAAGTCCACGTCCATCAGGGGCCTGGCCACTACAAAGGACAAGGGGGTGTTGGCTGGACCCCAGGGCAGCTTGTCAGTGTAGCCCCCACACCCCATCAGATGCGGCATGGCCACAACCTCAGGGTGATGAAGACAAAAGGGACTTTGATAGGAGCCCCCCAAGCCCAACCCCTGGAACCCATCTGTTTGGGGACTCACGGGAATAGGTCCGGGCCACTGCAAAGTTCTGTTGGCTCTCTTGCCTGGAAACACAGGGGACTGTTCTGAGCTAGGGCCTGGCCTCTCACAGCCCAAGGGACAGAGAGACAGGAGGGATAGGCAGACAGGGACAAGGAACAGGGAGGACACTCCAGGGCAAGAGTGAGAAGGAGCTGCAACCCCTCCAGGTCTGAGCTAGAGCCCTGCCCCCTGATGCCCTCATCCTCTGGACCGCTCCCCCACGCTGCCCCCTGGGTGCCCAGCCTTTTCACACAGCCCTGGGCCAGAGCCAGCTGCCAGAGAGACTCATCCCTCAACATGACTTATCCAAGAACCCCAGAGACGGTCAGAGGGTCTGTGGGCAGGGCTGGGGAGGCAGCCCTGAGACTCTGGGTGTGATGGTTAGGGCGACTGCTCAGGGACCCGGTGGTGACTTCAACCAGGAGCAACAAGGAGGCTGCCCCCACCCGCCTACCACTCCCGAGGGCACACCCCTCAAACACACCATTTACTCCCAAATGACTGGCGGGACTCCTTCGAGGTTAGCAGACCCAGTCAGGTATTTAGCCATTGCCCCGGCTCCCCTTCTTCCTTTGAAACACAACCCTGACTTTTGTTTAGCCAGCAGCATGCCCATCTAAAAGACTGAATTTCCCAGCCTCCCTTGCACCTAAATGTGGCCCCGTGATTAAGCTCTGGTCAATGAAATGCAGGCCAAGGTTTTGGGAGTTCCAGGAAAGCTCCTTAAGGGAGTCACTGGTAACTGGGGTACAGCCTTTTTGTCCTCCTTCATTCTTACTACTGCCTGAAATGCAGAGATGAGGGCTGGAGCCCTAGCTGCCACTTTGGACCATGAAGTACCCATGAGAATCGAAGCCACAGGTAAGGATGATGGAGCAGGTTAGCCAATCATAAGAGCATTTGGGGCTCCTCTCCTGGACTAATATCGGTATCTGGCCCAACCTTCCAGAAGCTCCCGGGGTTCTGGGGGTCAAGGTGATCTGATTTAGGAAGGATGCTCTAAATCCACAGGAGAGACTCAGGCTTGGCTTCCCGGAGGAAGTGATGCAGGAGCTGGGCCTGGCACACACAGGCTGGCAGGACTGAGCCCAAGGGAGGTGGGGAGAACCTGGGCCTCCCTCTCCCCTCCCCCCTCCCTTGTCCCATTGTCCCACTCCTTACATGAGGAGGCTTAGTCTATAGTTCTAAGGTTACTCTGGGGCTTTGAGGGGGCAGGGACTGAGGGAGGAGGGGAGGGCGGAGATATTGATGAGCTGTGCCTTGGGGCAGGAGAGTGGAGGGGCGCCAGGGGAGCCCAGCCCACCCCTGGTGGAGGTTGTGGGCTGGCAATCTAGACAGCCGGCCAAGTAGCCGAAGATGCTTGGAAAGATCCAGTCCTGGCCCCAGGGACGGGCCTGGATGGGAGAATTCTATTTTCAAATCTCATTGTGGTTTTTCAGTTGCAAAAGGAAATGAGAAAGGGTGTGTGTGCGTGTTTGTATGTGAGTAGCCACCGGGTGTGCATACAGTGCTATGTGTGTGACGTGTGTGAGAAGTGCATGCATGAGCAAGTGTGCAGGAAGCATGTGGGTGTTAGTAGGCATGCAGGCCTGTGCACATGTGCACACACAGGCCTCAGAGGTCCCCCAGGCCCTCCATCGGTCACATTCCTACTCCACGTAAGGACACCAGTGGCCGCTGCCCCCATGCCTGGGGGCGTTCTTGGGTCACCCCCTGGCCTGCAGTGTTCAGTACGGCTGACCCTCCCAGGACTCCTGGAGTGGAAAACCGGCCCTCAAAGTGCCTGGAGCTCCCTCACCCAGGTCCTGCCACTCTGCTTGGGTCACCAACTCCATTTCGTCTCTACCCTACCTCCCTGTTTCCTGTTGCACATAAGCCTCTGCTTCTAGCGCTCCTGTTGCCCCCTTGGCCCTTAAAACGAAGGCCAAGGCCTCTCCCCACAGTCAAAGGCTCCTCCAGCTCATCTCTCCCAAGACACACAGTACCTGCGACCTCGTCCCTGGAAGACAGTGTCCGGCCTGGTCCTATGTCAGCAACTGCCCACGCTGTTCTCTCTCTGGAATGTACCCTTTTGTCTCTTTCTTAATCTCTTCCCCACTTCCTCTATCAGGCCTGCCTTCGTTGCCCCGGGATGGGCCCACATCCTCCCCTGAGCTCCTTTAGTATTTTCCAGGGGAGACTCAGCACAACTCACGTTTTGCTCTGTGCCCGGCACTCAACCCCCCACTGCCCCAGAGGGCAGGACTCTTCTGTCAACGCCCCTCCCCACAAGCGCCACGGGCTGCCCTGGGCGGGGTTCACAGGGAGCGTCTCCGTGGGCAGGGAGCATGTGGGGCACCTCTGGAGGTGCTCTGGGGCCAGCTGACCAGCGGCATCCCCTCCTCCGGAAGTCCTTGCTGACCAGGCAGGGCCTGGACAGCCCCTGGGTGGCCCCTTCTCCCTCCCTTGACTGCTCTGCACCCACCAGGGCCCAGCCTGGAAGAGGTGTGAGGGAAGGGGCCAGTGAAGGGACGCCTGGGGGATGCCCCTGGGGATGCCCACACCCAAGACACACACAGTCAGTGGGCTGGGAACATGGAGGCACTCACAGGTTCCTTTGTTCACAGATTTTCTCGGACTGCTTCGCACCTGCAAGAATGGGACCAGATTCGCAAGTGTCCAGAGCCAGTGTGGGAGCTGAGATCTGAGGCCCCTCTCATGCGGTCTCCCGTGTGCCCTGTGGGCCTAGGACAGGACGTGGGGGCCTGCCAAATCACTGTGGGCCGCCTGACGCGGACAGGGCGTTTCTTACTGTTTATTTAGGAGAATGGAATGTGGAGAAGGTGATGCCCCAGGCAGCCCAGCCTCCCCTCCCTTGTCCGGAGCAGCACCCCCGCCACAGACATACGCCCTTGATCTGGCAAAACTGAAGCCCCACTATGAGCCAGGCCGATTGTGTTCAGGCGCAGTTTGGAGCCAGGCCATGGGGGAGTCATCCCCGTCTTGGGAGGCGTATCTGACTGTCCCTCCCAACCGCAGTCAGGTCTGGGCCCACGAGGGTTTCTGGGTACCCTGTCTTCTCCTCCATTGCACCCATGACACCCCCGCCCCTCACAATCCCACCTTTACCTGAGCGGGAGCAGCGCACACACAGGCTGGCCACCGCCCCCAGCAGCAGCAGGAGGGCCGCCCCCGGCCACAGCAGCTCGGTCTCTGTACTCATGTCCGCTCCTGGCCACTTTTCCTGCAACGCTACAACGAGCGGGCCCCCCATGAGCCAGGTGGGAGGGCTGCCGGGCTGCCCCTCCAGGGACCCGCCCTGCCCCACACTCTCAGTTTTCTTACCCCCAAAGTCCCCGGACAGCCCCGCAGCTGAGTTTAGGTTCTGGGGGCGCCCTTCCTAACCCTGCTGGGGGACCGGGGCAGGGCCGGACCTATTCCTCCATCTGACCCCGGATCCATACTCTTGTCCTCCCAGGCCGGCACACTTGGTAAGTGCTGGAAGGTTCTGGGGACCCACCAGACAGCACCATGTGCATGTGCACATTCCTACACACACCCTCACTTAATCCACACAATTGCCCTTTGAGGGAGAGGCGTGCTCCATTTCACAGATAAAGAAACTGAAGCCAGAGATCTCAGAGCTGCTAAGTAGAAAGACAGGATTCAAGTTCCAGCCTCCAGACCCGAACTCCGGCTTTGCCCATGGCATCCCCTCCCTCCTGTAAATCCAGCTTTACTCCCCAAACTTGGAGTCTGTGGCCCCTTGTGCATGGGAGCTCCCAGCAGCCCTCACATAACCTGGGGCACTTCTCCACCCCATCCGTGGCCTCCTGCAGAAGCTGGGAGTACGATTTCCATCCATTAAACACCAGTGCACCCAGATTCCTCCCGTTCTGGGAGCTGGAGGATAGGACATCAGGAAAGGCTTCTTGGAGGAGGTGGGCTTGAGAGCATGGAAGAAGCATGCTCAGGGCAGAGGGAGCTTGCTGCCCATGGTGGCTGGTGGCGGGGTGTGGGGCTGGAGGAGAGAGGCCGCAGGGCAAGGAGACCCTGCGTCCCTCACCACTGACCATCGTCTCAGTGGCTGGTCCAGGCCACGGCCGCAGGACCCTGTGATTGTCAGGCCTTGGCAACCACAACTGCACATCAGGGGCTGGTGAAATCAAGTACAGCCCTTTTGAGGGGGCTTCCAAGGAGGATCATTGAAATATAAAGAGACTCAGCCCCCTCGGGATAGCTGGGACACAGCTGAGGGCAGCAGGGGGTCTCTGAGAGGGCTGTGCCGAGGGGGTACATGGAGCCCCCGCCACTGAGCGTCCACTCTGTGAATACCTGTGCCCCCTGCATCCGGCTTCTTCCCCACTTTACAGCGGGGGAGGGGGAGACTCGGGGAGAAGACGAACTTTGTCCTGCCCACCTCCTGCTTCGGGCTCCCCTGAGGCCTGCGTGCACCTGGCTGTCCCCTCACTTCTTTAAGCTTCCCGAATCTCTGTGGCAATGATGACAAGGAATCTCCATGCAGCGTGGAGCCTCGGTCAGGGACCCATCACAGAGAAGCCAACTCTCCTTCCCCAAAACTCCAAGTGAGTCAGTGGGGGCATGAGAGTTCCCAAATCTCGTGACAGAGCAGCCTCCACGTGAGGAGAAAGATTGACCCGTCACACAGGATGTTGTTTGAGGGGGAACCTGCTCCCCTCCTCTCGGAGGCTGGGCGCTACCCGCCTGGCGTGCACTCCCTGCTCTGCCTGGTGTGGCTGCCCCAGGGCAGACTCCCTCCCAAGCCCCCAGGCAGGGTCCACATCCATCTCAGGCTGTTTGAAGTTGGGAATGCCTGCCTTAAGAGGGAGGACTCCAGGGTCAAATCCTGCCTGTGCCTCAGCATCTCATTGCTTGGCCTCAGTTTTCTCATCTGTAAAATGGGGGTCAATCATGCCCAGTCAGGCGCACGGCTGGGGCTTCCTAAAGAGAAACCTTATTTCCAGCTGGCTGGTTGGGACAGCTCCCTCAGGCTCCCGACCCTTGACAACTTTGCCCTTGGGTTAAGACAGTGACTCTGTCCCCAAAGGAGATTTGGGGGCAGGCACATGGGGTGGGTCGCACACGTGCTCCCTGAGAGACCCAGGACATGAGTGCACTGCCAGCCACCCCCAGGGGACGCTTAAGAACTTAGAAGCAAGTCCACACTTTCTATCTGGCACTCAAAACCCTGGGACATGGCCTGCTGACCTCTGGGGGAGGGTGGCCCTCCAGCCTAGGGGCCCCCGACCGACCGTGGGAGAGCTCTCTTGCCTCCTGAGGGGAACAGCACACCGGGGGACAGCCCCAGCCTGGCCCATCTCTGCCCGCCTGGCACTGGGGGAGGTGGGGGGAGAGGAACACAAGAATGCAAATTCACCCCAGGGACAAAAATTGAATCTTAGTCACGGGCCCTTGCTCACCCCTTTGTTAAATTAGGGAAATAATGACACTCTTCCCGTGGGTTTGTCACATGGGACCTGGCGAGATGACGCAGGTAAGGTGCTAGTGCAGGGCGGGGCATGGTCGGCTGTGATGAGCAGGACTGGCCATCATTACGGTCACCGTGGAAGGGGAAGAGGAAGCTGCAGCCTGTTAGGGCCAGAGCTGGCTGGGCAGCCCGCAGCAAGCGGTGCGGCGCAACCCTATCGGGAGGCTCCCCGGCCTGGCTCCCAGACAGGCAGGCCTGAGCCTCCCTCCATTGCCTCACAGGGGCATTGAGCCGGGACCCGGAGAGGGGCTGGGATGGGAGGAGAGCGCGGCCCTCGCCCCAGCCCCTCAGTTAGTTGTCACAGACACACCCACAGACCCTGTGGGAGACACCAGGCCCAGAGAGGTGAGCACTCTGTCCGAGATCACACAGCTGGCCAATCACGGAGACAGGATCAAAACAAAAAACAACCCGGGGTGGGCTGTCTCTAAACAATTTCCTTTTTCTTATATTACATTTTTAATAATCATGAAATATTTTTTAAAGGAAACTCATTTGAGGAAAACTCCTGTGTTCTCCGTGCCACACTGAATACATCTGCCCTCCTGTCGCTTTCCTCCATGTTCTGAGAGCAGGCGTGGTGGGGCAAGGGTGGAGGGAGAGCAGGCTGGGCCCCAGGAGAGGCAGACCCAACGGCTCCAGGAGGCCCCAAGAAGCCAAGCAGGGCTGGGCGGGGTAGGGAGGGGGGCTGCCACAGCCGTGGCTCTGCAGGCCAAAATAGCACAAGGGGAAGTGGGCAGTTTTCATATGAACAAGGGTGCAACAAGTTGGCTGTGGGGAAGCCCTCAGGGCTGGGCTGCTTGGGCCTCGGCGCCTGAGCCTCCCGCCTGGAAAGGCCCCCGGAGGTGATACTGGCCACTGTCCCAGCACTCGTCATGCTGTAGACGGGGAAGCCGAGGCCCATGAGGGCTGCAGGACAGGCTGGGGGTAGGGGTAGACTGAGGGGTCCTGGTCTGAGCCCCCGGAAGGCTTTTGTCACCAAGCTCTGCTCTGGGGTCTTTTTTGTTTTCCCAAATACCATTGGCCTTCAGATGCGACTGGCCGAGATGCTTCCAATGGAGGCTCTCAATGCTCAGTGACTGGGGCAGGCCCTGGTTGGCCCTAGTCCCAGGGCAGAGGCAGAGGACTGGGGAAGGCCAGGCCCACCTGTTGACAGAGCTGGGCACAGGGATCTCCCCAGGGCCTCCAGCCTCTCAGGACCCCAGCAGAGAGCTGGCAGGTCAGGCCGGGGACCGGGTGGGAGCGTCAGGGACAGATGCTCCCATCTGGCCTTGGGCAGGACCTGGGCCCACTCACCTGTCTCACCCATCCTCCCATAGCCCTATGTCTGGGATGTTACTGTTCCATTTTACAGATGAAGAAACGTCGGCTCATGGGCATGGACCTGGGAACAACTGTCCTGGCCCCTCACTTGTCTCTGGAAAAGATGGGACCACCCTGGGTCTTCCTAGGACTGCAGTCTGGGCTGGGGAAGGTGAGGGCAGAAAAGTGGCTGAAGTCCCAGAAATAGGCTACCCCTCTGAGTGCCACAGGGTCCAGGGTGAAGGCTCTGTAGTCAGGGGTGCCAGGGCAGGACTGGGGCCAAAGGAGGTGATGCCGGGTGTCCTGACATCTTCCCACTCTATTCAGTGGGCCGCCAAGTGCTCCTGCTGGGCCAGCGAGGCCACTCCAACCCCTGTGGGGTGTCGGGGCTGTGGGGACAGACTCAAGATCCCTGCCCCCAAGGTCAGGCTCCAGGCACTCCTGGGAAAGGCTTACCTGAGAGTTGGGGGCTCTTCACTGCGGCCACCTCATCCTGAGCCCACACACCTGCTGGAGCCGACACCAACGCCACTGACACTTGCGGGCAGCAGGCAAGGCGGCGGGCTTCCTGTCAGCCACTGAATCATCCCTCACACATCCGCTGCCCTGCCGGACAGGCTCTGCTGTGAACAGAGACAGATACTCACGCATGCGCACACACACGAGAGAGAGAGAGAGAGAGAGAGAGAGAGAGAGAGACAGAGAGACAGAGAGACAGAGAGACAGAGAGAGACAGAGAGAGAGAGATTTAAAAGAGATTTAAAAGAGAGAGAAAGACAAATAGACACAAAGAACAGAAAAACCTGGACACACACACTAAACACACACATAAACACAAGTCACATGGAGAGAGGCACACAGAGGGATGGGGGAAAGAATAAAATGGGAATATTCACATGGACACACATAAAGGCAGAAAGAGAGTAGGAAGACATGGAGAAGCACAGACTAAAGAACACACAAATACACACCAACACTGAAAACATGTGCGCGCACACACAGAAACCCAGAGACACAGGGAATCAGAGAGAGGCAGGCAGGGTGAGAATGGGAAGGAGAAGCACACTCTCAACATCCACAGACACACAGAGAGGGACGGGCAGACACTGAGCCTGAGACCAACCAAGAGATTCAGACTCAGAGAGAGGGAGACACAGGAAGACAGAGAGAGACTGGGAGTCCCTGGCAGTCTGTGGACACAGATACTCAGAGAGCAAGAGCCAGATACTCGAAGAACAAGAGTTCCAAGAATGAGGCAGGCAGCTCATGCACGCATGTGCGTGCGCGCGCACGCACACACACACGCACACACACACGCACGCACACAGAACATGGGACAAGGGTGGATGGAGAAGGCAGAGCAAACAGCTGGAGACAACGACAGCTGACAGGAATAGACAGCCACAGGCATTAGAGGGAACCGGACAGGCAGGCAAGCTGAGGGACAGAAGGACAATCACAACTCCTCTAGTCCTGGAAGCCATGTCTTATCACCCCCTTTTCGAGATGGGGCTCATGGAGGCACAGAGCAAGGTGAGAGCACAGCCCCACTCTGACTGGCAGCTGCCCCTGCACCAGCCCTTCCCTCAGCTGTGAGAGGCGTGATGAGGTCTGGAAGGCACCCGCTCACTTGGAGAGATTGGTAACCACAAGCAGGCTCCAGTATTCATGTTGCTGGTCATTAGTAATTTGTCCAAGACCATGGAACTGTCTGTGGCACCCGACTGCCAGAGATCCCAGGGAAGCCCCCGGGGAGCCCGACACCCCATCAATCTGGCACTTCAGAGTCTGGTGTCCCCAGCTCTAGGCCTGGGATAGAGTGTCCCTTGTGGCCCCAGGGTGGAGTGGGGGGATGGCAAAGAGTTGCAGCCAGGGCACAGCTGGGGCTGGCAAGGGGCCAAGTGCAGGAGGCTCAGGCGCAACAACTGAAACAGAGAAACAGAAACCGAGGGCAGGCTGGGCCCGCTGCTGACACCCTGTGGAGGAGAAGAGCAGTGCAGGGACCAGAGCTTGTTTTGGGAGATCCTGTGGACCTTCAGTGCCAGGTGCTTGTCTCCATCCCAGCCCGTGGTGGGACTAGAACTAAAACTAACCTCACCTGACTCCCAAACCTGACAGTGCAATCACCACCACCACACTCCCTTATTTCATGTGGGCGAGGGTACATTTATGTTAGTCTACAAAGGTGAGAACACCATGGCTCTCACAGAGGCTGAATTTGAATCCAGGCCCCCAAAGCATCCACAGCCCATTGTCTTTCCAACACCCGAGAGCCCAGACATCAGTGAGTGAAAGCCAACAGCCCTCCTTGCAGGGTTGCCTGCCTGGCACTTCCTTGCACAACTGGGTTAAGTCTGCACAGGCTTCCACCCATCCCTGGACCACGTGCCTCACAGGGGTTTCCTGCCTGCAGAGACGGTCTGAAGCTTCAATACATGTAATGGGAGTGGAGTTCTAAGTTCCCGGCTTCGGTCTCTGGCCTCCGCAATGGCAGGTGCTGGAGAAGTAGCCTCAAACTGGCAGTCTTCAGACCTAGCCAGTGTGACCAGGAGTCCTCTTGGACCCTCCATGAGCCCATTTTCCATCTACAGAAACAGGGGCCTGTCAACCCAAAATCCCTTTTCGTATCTGAGTGGATCTTGACACGCTTTCTAGGCACTACTCACATCCCTCCAAGTTCTATTTTATTTACAAGCCATTCACTTATGAATTAGAAAATAAGCTTTAAAAAACTAGATACTTCATGTCCTATTGTATAAATTGTAGTGCACTTTATTTTTCTTTTTACAATTCAATGGGTTTTCGTAGAACATAAAATTGACCGTTTTAACCATTTTAAGAGTGCAATTCAGTAGCTTTAATTATACTCACAATGTTGTACAACTGTTAACTATTTCCAAAACTTTTATATCACTCCAAACAGGGCTATTAGCCTTTTTAGTTCACAGCTGATTAAGCTGCGTGCATACTTGTTAGAGCAGCAAAACGCCTAGGTAGTAATGCAACAGCTCTAAGAACTCTTAAGCAGTTCCGAGGATGAGAACCTACTGGGGTCACGCATCCTTTACAGGCTAATAGGAAGCTATGGATTTTCTTCAGAAAAAAATGCATCTTGAGACGTGCATACATTCTAGAAGCCCTTGGAACCCAACTGTCAAGTCGTCTGACTGCCACCCCCACCTCTCAAGGCACAAATGAGCATTACCCCACCCCTCACGCCCAGCCATTTATGACATTTCTCTCTGGTAATTAACTCACTACTCAATGGAACCTAGAACATCTCATGATTCTGACTCACCCTACCTACATAACTACTTTTTAAAGTTGGTTTTAGTCGTTATTTCTGAAGCTTTTCCATATATTTTTAAAAAGGTTCATGCTGTCTTTAAGCATTTGGGACTTTCTATTACCATAACCATGACCCATCCATACTGTTCCAAGTAGCTGTCGGTCATTGCTTTAGACTTCTGTACCACATTCCATCATCTGAATATAGGTTTTTGGGTACATGCCCCAGAGGGGAACCACTGGGCAGAGAGTATGGGAACATTCAGTTTTCAAGTTAACTCCCAAAGTGGCTATACTCATTTACACTTTCATGTGTAGGATACAAGAGACCCACAAACTCTCCAGTACTGGTTTTTCAGGCTTCCTGACTTGCTGTTAGAATGGGTGTGAAATAGTATTTTATTTTAGTCTTGATTTACAATTCCTTGACTGCTAATGAGACTCAACTTCATTTTTGTGCCATTATTTCCTCTTCTGAGAAATACCTGTTAATGTATTTTGCTTAGCTGTCTTTACCAACTTGCAGGAATTCTTCATACATCTTTTCTTTTTTTCGTTTATAACATGTTTTTCTTTTTGATAAAGTACTTTTAAAAAAGTAGTGAGTTTATTCTTAGTTTCAGGAGTACGATACATGTGAAAAATAATCCTACCAATTTCAAGGATTCTTGGTGCTATTTACAGAAACTCTGGGCTACCTACAAAGCTGCTCTAACTCCCCACCCCCCAATCCTGTTTAGAAAGATAAGCTTGTAGGCCAGTAATTATTTTAACATTTACCTGGTCTCCCAGAGCGAACAGAGAACAGGTTCAAGAAACAGATTCTCTCTGGTGTTCAAACTAAATACCAAAGAGCCTGCTGCTGCGAAATAGTTTGCTTCTTTATTTGTGTATTTAATATTTTACAGTTAGAGGGTGGTTACAGGTGGTAGAAGAGATTAGGCGGTTATGATTAAATACAGTCTTCATAATTTTGATTCATTTTCTTGACAAAAAAAATTGCAAAAGGAAGACTTTAAGATAATGGATGTTTATACGCCTGCTACCCTCACACAATGAGAAAGTAACTAAAACATCTCAAAGCTGTAAAACATTGGCCAAGAAAACACGAAAGATGGGAGTGAAGCTCCTCACTGAAAAAGGACACACACAGTCAGGCCCAGCTGAGTCACTCTTTTAAGCATGAGGAGCCCAGCTCAGCAAGCAGCCTGCCTCCTATGCAGATGTTAGGGCGGCCCGGGTGATAGCTGCTTGCCGCACACACCATGGACAGCTGTCCTGTCCCTAAGATCCTTTAGGAATTCTGAGATGTGACACCCTGTCCTCCCCTCCTGCCTTCCCAGAAAGAGCACTGTGAGGAGTCCCCTGGGCAGACAGCAAGAAGCGGCTGAGTACATGGGCTGCCTACCCCGCTCTCCGGCAGCTGAAGTCCCATGGGTGTCCCTAGGCCCTGTCGGGTCCCAATGCAGTTGACATGCCAGAGTGAACCTTGTCACAGTGGCAGTGACCCTGCATGATGACCTCAACAGCCATTTGGAATTTGAGAGACACTGAGGGGAAAGAACAAAAATGTATTCAAAGCACAACTTGTGAAAAGAGCAGATCATAAGGTTGTTTCAAAACCAACCGGGCACAGGAATCTCTGGAGGCTGCAGGGCACACTGCAAAGAAATGCTGTTTCTAGTGCATCTCAAGCTTAAGTGGCTTTACGTTGAAGTTAATTAGCTCTTCTTGTTCTAGACTTAATCTCTACAAAGTAATCTCCTTCACCGAGAAAACCAGGCTATTCCCTAAAAATCAAAAGTTGAAAGAGGACACTAGATAACAATGCCAACTCCGCCCTCCTCCAAACGCCCACCTCCCGATTTCTCCCCGTTAAGGCCTCCCTGAAGAAACAAGACATCTGAGTCATGAAGGGAAACCCAGGCTTCTGGAAGTCTGCTATGGAAATAAATCCTTTCCTAGGAACCAGAGAAACAATCTGGCCTCTGATGAAATGGATGCTGAGGTAAGAACAACCTGAGCCCCTTATAAATAATAAAGGGGCGTCATTTGTAACTTCATTACATTTTGTTTCTCTTACGCCAGCTCAATAGTAGAGAGAAATCAAGCATCAACTGTCTTAAACTCATCCCTGGACCATTCACATGGTAGATGCAAATGTTTATGAAAATGACCCTATTTCTTTAGGTGCTTCTCTGGGGAAAGATGTACCCTCCTCTCTTAGTTCAGTTACTTATTCATGGGAGGCAGATACTAAAAAGGCTTGCTGTAATACTTTGTATTACACACCAAGGGACTAGGTGCTTGTGGGAAGCAACCATTGTGAAGTTATAGCAACATGTGAGGGAAGGCAGGAAGGCAGCTGCTCAGGAATATCATTTCAATTATAAAGGAACCTCTGAATTCCTGGGAAACCTGGCTGACTGCTGCAAGCATCTGAGCATTCCACAGGCCCTTCAGAAAGGTTCACGGAGCCTCTGGCCATAGGAAATCTCTCCAGATCAAGTCCCAAGTCAACTTAGGGCAGGGAGTTTTTGGTCTCCGGGAGTCTCCCCCTTAAAGAAAATACCAGTAGGCATCAAGTCCTTCCCTCCATGCTCTTGGCTGGGGAGTAGTTGAAGTCAACCTTCCCTCATGCACTCCCTCACTGACCTTATTTCTCTCATCAAGCTACATTCAAGGCTCTCACCTTAAGGTAAGCAAATTTTGCACCATACCAGGCCCGCTACCGCCACTCTCCTGTGCCGGCCAGGCCTGTCCCACACAGCTCAAGGCTCTGTACCTTGCCCAGAGTCATAAAACCCCCGAACTACACAGCAGTACCCCCCCAAACATGATCTACTTGCCACGGAGTAGGACCCATTACTGTCATGAAGAGTACCTAGAATTCCGTCTAGAAACAAGTAGTTAAAACAGCAGGTGCACCCTGTGCAAATATTTGGTTTCTTCTGTATTAGGAGAAAAAGTCCCTTTATCCAACCAAACACTACAGCCACACCATTACATATGGTTTCTATGTGTTAGGAAAATTACATTTTTTGGGAAATGAAGGGGAAGAAAGTTGGCATCCTGTTTTTAATCATCAATTCCTTTTAAGATAATCTCAACTAATCCTGAAGCTTTCAAAAGCAAGATGCTTTTCTCACAGTACCCTACTAAATTTGGATACTGCTTTCCAAATTTAAAATTGCTTATTTCATGAGGCTAAAAATAACTCAAAATAAAGACAAGCATTAAATATTACGTAAGGTTTTCTTTTATTTAAAAGATCATTCACAAAATACCATATCCATATTTACTTTCTGTCATATAGTTGAATGTGTTAAGTGTTTGGAATTCCATTCTTACATTTAAAAGTCAACTGGATCACCCAGAAGTTTAGATGAATTTGTTTTGTTCTTAATCTTTTCCACATTGAAGATATAAGTAGGTCATCTGAAAGCATCAGGTTTGATTACAACCACATAATGCATGTCTGTCTTAAGTTAAGTATTGGTGTTACACAAATGGTTCTTATTTCAGAAGCAAAGATGACAGGTGGAAGGAAAGAAGGGAGAGTTCTGTAAATTGCTGAGACCTTGTAACAAGGACAGAGTAAGAGAAGCCAAGGATGCCAGCTAGTGACGAACTCCTGTCTAAGCACACCGCGCTGCGTGGGCCAGGACACCCCTCAGCCCTCCTGTCATGCTGGTGGGGGTCTCTTTTCTGTAGGGCTCTAGCTGCTGGCTGCCCCTGAATTGCTCCGAATGAAACAGCTGGGACCCAGGTGCTAAGAATTTAATTTGTCCACACATGGGTGTTCAAGCTCCAAAGCTATTGCCTAACCCCTAGCCCTGTGTACATGCTGAACACTATATGTGGGAACAATAAACTTTGTCTCAAAGATGAGACCCAGCAACTTATAGCCACCTACCAATTATTTTAAGGTTCTTGATAGCTCTGCATAGTAAAATTCTCAATTCATCAAGTGAAACAATAAAGTGCCAGATTCCAGGCCCATTTTCATTATAAAATTAAGGGATGGTGGGAAGCACAGCATCTTATTGTTATACCAGGGAACAGATAAACGCAAGGGAGAGACACAGAACACACAGATATAATAGGGATTTGGAAAAAGCAATGTCTATACTATAAAGTTAGCCCAGCACAGCTTTACCACCCTTACCCCCAACCTTTTGTTCCCACCCCAGCCCTGCCCACAAAGCACCTGTGCCCAGCAGAAAGGAAACCAACAGTAGGCAGTTCACTGCATCCAGACAGATAGAGGAGTCTCTGATGCAGCTGATGAAGCAGGGAACCAGTTTGGACACAGTGTTGAAAAGCAGTAATAAAACGTGTGAACACAGTAGTGCATTCAACTCATCTTCCATGTAAACTCCCTACCGACATTTCACATTACCCTTCAGGATTCATGTTTGAAATCTGAGCCAAATATATTCTGCTCTAATAATCCATTTGGAGAGGGGGCAATAGAGACAGAACTACCTATAAATAGGGATGGGAAGGAATTTGAAAACAAGGTGCCTCAAAATCTGTATGTTGATCAAAGCTGAATAAAAACAAGATGTCCACTTTGTGACTTTTTTTTTTTTTTTTTTTTTGAAAGCCACAGAAATACAGAACTCAACATGCAGGTCGGAAGAGAAGCACTGAGAAAATCAAAGGAAGTGACTGGAGTCTGGCCAGTATGTTTAAAGAATGAAGAGAAAAGAAAGGAGAAAATGGAGCAGCACCTATACCCAAAGACCTCCCACATGGTGGCTGCCTTTGTCCCTCTAGAAACTCATGTGCTGGAAGGAAACAAGGAGCAAGAAGAAAAAAAAAGACAGAAAATGGGGGAAGGAGTGGCAGGGGGAAAAAAAAAACAAAACAAAACGCACGGAACAGGCACTAGATACAGCAAAGCCAAGAATGTACTAAAAACCACTTGTTAACTGCTGACATGCACTCACAAGCTCTGTTTCCTTTGTAAGAAAGGAGGACAAAGGTCAGGCGCAGGAATGGTAACTGCAGGACTGCCGGTCCAGGGGGCTAGCCAGGCTGTGGTCTTGCTCTAACTGCCCCTACACCCCATTCCCTCCCAACCGCAAGCTCATTCTTGCTCCTTGTGAACAACTTCCTCTCTGGGCCGGGCTCCCCCGAAGATAGCAGAGTTGGGATTGGCTACTTGATTGAGGGGCGTTGCAACTGTTCGAGGTTTAAGCTGGAGCCGTGGTCTCTGTGCTCTTTCCTCTGGGGAGGGAAAAACAAGGTTTTTAAAGAATGGATCCCATTCCCCACTGGGAGAAATGACCAAACTGTTGCTGATCTCTACAGCCCAGCCCAGCTCCTAAAAATTAACAGCTGTGAAAAACTACTCCATCCCTGGATACACTAATAAAGGTAAACTTGCTATTTAAGATTAAGGGCAATTTACATGGCCTAAGAAGGTACCATGAAAAGGTACCCGCCATTCACAAATTGTCGCCATACCTTCTGTTGGTTCTCTGAAATCCATATTGGACCCTCGAAGGGGTGGACCATCTCTGAAACGACTCCCCATCGGAGGGCCTGTTCGCCGGTCACCTGGACGACCCCCTCCCCTGCCTCCTAAGAAGTCGTCCCTGAAACCTGAAGGAAAAAAGATGACACTGAATTACTTTTTGAACTGTCTTAAAGTGGACTATAATATCTTGCGTAAACTGTTTGACTTCAAAACTTTAAGTTCTTTAGTTTGTCCAGCACCTGAAGTTCTTCCAAAACACAGCACAATGCAAATGAGTCCAAATGTGAATCTGCTTGACAATTTCAATGCTAACAGACTTTTTAAATAAAAAAGAATCTTAGGAGAGAAAAACAAAATAAGCCATTTAAATTTTTAGCTTGCAGTAAAAGTGGAGAACAGTATGATGCTATATTCTAAAATGGTTTAAAACAATATAAAAATCCTCAACGCACACTGTATTCTGTTTTCTATTATATATCTATATAGCTATTAGGAAGATAAACCTGAAATTTAGAAGTGACGATTTAGAATGCAAAATCACAAGAAAAAACTAGATACAAAGACAAAATAAAAATACAAAGGCACCTCTGGGTGACATTCCCCATTTTTCCTGTTCTTGCTGCATTTCAGTGTGGATCACTCTAAAAGCAAAACACCTGTGTGGCAAACAAGGCAGTTATCTGAGTCAGGCCCACTCCCTAGGGGGGAGTGCTGGAGAGAGCAGAGCACCTCACACCCAACCTGTGCCTCACCTCCTCTGGTTGCAAAGGGGTCGCCCCCATTCATTTGTGTATTTGCTAAAACAATTACCAACAGAAGTAAAATGCATCTCATTTAGAAGTATTAAGAGTAAGTTACACCCTGGCTGGTGTGGCTCAGTGGATTGAGTGCTGGCCTGTGAACTGAAAGGTTGCCTGTTCGATTCCCGGTCAGGGCACATGCCTGGGTTGTGGGCCAGGTCCACAGCTGGAGTCATGTGAGAAGAAACCGATCCATGTTTCTCTGGCACATCGATGTCTCTCTCCCCTTCTCCCTCCCTTCCCCTCTCTCTAAAAATGAAAAAAAGTCACAATTGTCATTAGTGTGTAGAATAAAGAGTATTTTCTCAACGGATTTTGAGAAGCTCAGGCTTTAGTTTTGTATTTAAGTGAAAGTCCTTCTGTCCCGAGGGTTTACGCTAATTAACCTTTTAATAGTATGGCCTACTGAAATTAAACTTCCAGTAAAAATATAGGAAATAAGACTGTAATTAAACAAATGTGCTTGACCTCTTCGTTTATGCTCCCAAAGGTGACTTTTTATCACTCTAAGAATGGTGCCATTGCTCAAAGCTTTGTGGACTATATCTTTAAGAAACCCGAGACATATTCTTCTATATAGAGTTGACCCCCATTACTCAAAGATTTTGTATTTACAAATTTACCTACTTCCTAAAATTTATAAGCCCCAAGTCAATACTTTAGCTGCTTTTGCTGTCACTAAGAATACAGCAGTTAAAGACTGAATCAGCTGAGGCAATACTCTATCTTGTTTCAGCTCATAAATAGATCCTTTCTATGATCTAGTTTTGTTTTTGTTGCTTTTTGTGTTTTTGGTTGGTGATTTCCATGTAAAATGCCCCCCACACAATCCTGAAGAGTTTGTAGGGCTCCTAAGCACAAGAAAGCTGAGATGTGTCTTAGGGAGAAAATAAACGTTTGATAAACTTCATTCAGGGCAGAGTTATAATGCTGATGGCTGTGAGTTCAATGTTAATGACCCGACAATGTATATTAAATGAGGTCTTTAAACAGAAACAAGCAAGTTTATGTGTTGATTGGTTGGTTGACAAAAAAACAGTGATCAGAGGCTTGAAGGATCCAGACCTTGTTATTTCCCCTGGGAGCAATGGATCAGCATGTGTCAATTCTGTGCTCTCAGTGATTCTACAGAACCTAACTACGGCATATATGGAGAACCAACTCTATCTGAAATGGTGGTACTTTTCCTGTTCTTTAAGGGTGGCAAGGATTTTGGAAATATATCAAGTTATTTAAAAACCCAGTTCAGCACCTGAGTTAAACAATACCAATTTTAATAAAACAAGTAATAAAAACAATCCTAAAAAGATTTAGACCAAATAGGAACATTGCTTTGGGGGAAAACACACCGAGATGCATATAGCCAAATGTAAGATTCTTCAGTCTTTTAACCTGACATTTCCCAAACTAATCTAAACTGTGGTGTGTACCTTTCTATGTGAGTATGAAGATTACTTTCCCCTAATGAGGTTAAATAATTTTTGCTGCCAGTTTAGCAAAAACAAATCACCTCACACCCACATTGACAAAGCAGGTAAAACAACTGCTACTGTGTTCACATGACGAGACAAAGTACAGTAGAAGAAAAAAACTGTGTATTATCACTGACAGCTTCACTTCAAAAGTATCTTATGATAAGAGCAGTGGGAAGATTATGAGGAAAAAGCAAGGCTAATATTAACACATGTCTTTTAAACAATTTGATGAGATTTCTAGGAGGCACACTATTCATGACAATATTCTGAGTGTTCTTTACAAAGTTTAGTTTTAACACACTGGTTATTTCTAGTGGTGGAACTTTGAAATTTTTACTTGCTTTCTAGTAATGCTTGTTTTGCTTTGTTTTGTTTTTACAAGCATGTACCATTAAAAAAATAACATCACTCTTTTAAAGAGTAAAAGAGATCCATTTTCATAAATAACGTATACGCGTAGGCATTACTCTACCACGTAGGCACTTCACCAAAACACTGTAGTTCACAGTGAAACTGGTGGGTGGCAAGGCAGTTTCTCTGGCTATGTTCACTGTATGTCTCTGCTTCAGAGTAAAAGCATAAGCTAAGCCAATAGTAGAAAGGCATTAGTTACTCCCACAGTTCCAGAGCTATGAGCTCACTGTGTTATTTCCATAGTACCAGGAAACGCACAACTGACAGGTCAAAGGCCACCGCTGATCAAGCCACTAACTGCCACACCTGGATTGGCTTTGAGACGACATTTGTTGCATGTTTCAATCAGAGACTAGCTTATACATAAAATTACAGGTTTACTGGATTATACTGTACTTTTATGAATAAGCTCATTTCTGACTGGCTATAGGACTTTTAAAAATTAAATTATTCAACAGATATAAACTGTCATCTGTTTAGCTAAAGCAGTACTGCAAATAAATTTTAAAACTTTTTAAGACTCATGAGGCATCCTGCACCAGTTTCTCCATACTTACCCATTAATTTATATTGAGTTTTGTTTTGGTGGGGGGAAGGTGATAGGGTGGGTGTGCTGATGTTCTCTTGTATTGGAAAGTACAGAAATAACCTCAAGTTCATAGAAAAGAAAACCCTTAAAAAAATTTCCTACCTTTCAGTTATAATTGACAAGTTTACTACATATATGAGTTACTTAAAAAAAAAAAAAGATGAAGAAATGTTGAAGAGATCTGTCAAAGGAGAGGGCAAACTGGCCGCTTGAGTTGAGCTAACAAAGCACCTATTTGCCTGCCCTGGTAAGTTAAGAAAAGGAATGGTAGAGCGGATCATGCCCATCATTAGGTGATGAGGTCCACACCCCTCAGGGAAAAAACAGGTCACCAGAACTCTTTGACCACCTCAGCGGGAACCACCAGAAACCAGTTACAAGGCTTTCTGTACATTTTTAGAACGTCCATACTATTTCTAGAAGTAACTGTATTTCTATTTGTGTCATACACACAAGAGCCACAAAGCAGTTTCCTTGGACTAGACCCTGAGAAAAAACTACTGCACGAGACAAAGGCACATGTGAGAATGAAGAGTAGGCTAAGGAAAGGTAACAACACAAGGTGGATCAGTCTCACTCTCTTGCAGTATAGAGAACCTTTTAGGCCCTACCCCAAATATTTAGGTTCTAATAGAGGCTTATTGCATGCCTGGGTATCTTTTGGGAAAGTTTCATTTGTCAGAGAAACTGAAGTAGTCCGGCCAGGCCGGCTACTCACAAGAAATGTACAACAGCACCAAGGCCATTGAAAAAGGTTAAGTGGCGATACTTTAAATACTGATACCGGAATTGAAGTCATCCCGGGACTCCCATCCACCTCTAGATTCTCGAGAGCCACCCATTCCTGAGGATACACAAAAAAGAGTAAAGTTGAGGTCGGGTCATTACCTTGCTGCACAAACATGGAAAAATTTATTGGGATGATGTACAACTCATGTGATGGGAAGTTCAACAAAATTAGTTTTTGCTGCCAACAGGAAAATTAGAAACAACCCCAGGCTTGCAGAAGCATCATCCGTTCTAAGATTTTATGCTCATAAAAAGCTCATTAAAACCTACTGTACCTACAAGACAGAGTTCTACTAGTAACCTTCCAGAGTTGCAACCAGTAAGTTTTATGTTCAGTTTTAGAAGAACCAATCACCTCTGTCATCTGGTCCACCTTTCCTGAATCCAAAGCCACCTTTATCTTGTTTTCTGCCTTCTGCAATGTCCACACGAAGTGACCGATCACCCAACAGCTAATGATAAGGGGAAAACAGTGTAAGTATTTGCAAGGAAAAAAGCTCAACTACCAACATGACAGAGAAAACGTGAACATACTTACTGCACCATCGTATGTCAAAGCTTCCTTAAGGGAATCCACCTCATCAAATTCTACATAGCAGAATCCTGTAAGAGAAAACAAACCCCATTTCCTCAAGAAATTACAGGTTAAAAATAGGGTGGGTTCCCTGTTTGTACAACTTGCCCACATCAGAAACTACCACTTTTGTTGCATCTAGATGACTGCAAACTAGCAGATCTTTAAAGAACAGGTTTTGCTTTTCAACAGAGCTTGATTGGTATTCCTCCCGCTCAGTTATATTTTATCAGAAAGTGCTAACCAAACAGGCACTAAAATAGCAGCTGTATTTTTATAAAGCTTTCTTCGCATATGTTTTAACCATAATACTAAAACCTTCCTTGGATCATCCAGAGTTGTCGGTTCTGATTTCTGAATGACTTTAATCTAATTGGGGTTTTAGGACAGATTTCAAAGTCGCCAAAGACATGCTCTGAAGGAGGGGCTGAAGGTGTCTATTACTCAAGTAGTTGGTATAAAAATCTCTGAATAAGCATTTCCCTTTATGTGCAAAACTCTTGTCCATGTGTTCCTTCCTTGCCATCTGGAGTCTGTATCTGGGCTAAGTACTGTCCTCGTCCTAATATGATCATACTGCACAATGTATATACCCCACCCTTGCCAGAGTATCCTCACTCTACATGATGACTTCACTTTCAAAGCCCACTAGACTGCAAATGCTTCAAAGGTCTGGGTCCAAACTTCTCCTGTTCAGCTTCTGCTTAGTAAGTATTTACACAAAGAACGCACTGCTTGACTGGAGAGGGTCCCCTGCTCTCCCCACCCCTGCCTTATTCCCTAAGTGGATTTAATATTTAGAGAAATTAAGAAAACCACTTTGAAGTTCAAAGAGGCAACAACAGCTCAGTCACACATCTTACACCCTACAACTGCTGAGACTGAAGATGACCCTCTATGAAACAAAGTCTAAAACCTGCTGCTGCTCCTCACGCAGCCCAAAGATTGGCTTCATCTACATATTTTGACCTTAGGTTTGAATTCCTAACGTTGTTAGCAAGCAAACTGGATGGAACTGACTTACACAAGTTTAGTCAATATATTTGTTTTTATTGTCTGATCACTTGGTAACAAGGCTTCAGGCTCTAAAGTCACAAAGCTTTCAAAGAGATAAAAAATGCCACCACACACAGAACCACTCAGATGAACAATACCTTTCTTGTACAACTCTCCACTGTAAGTCACCAGTCACTCTATTACTTTTTGTAGATATACTTCTGGATAATGTAAACCAAATGCCTTTGTACCCTGCATGGTGTACTTAACTACTGGGCATATTTCCCCTCAGGCAACCTTGAAAGCTAGATGATGATGTCATTTGATTCTTCATTCTTATTCCTCCTCTGCTCAAGTGCCCTTACAACTCTAATCTATAGACACTATCGGACATTTGAGCCAACATTCTCCCAAACACATACTCACTTATGTACACTGATAACTTACTAGGTTATCTTTTTAATTTTATAATAAGTAACTGAATTATAGGAAGACTACCATAGAAAAAAGCACAAATTGGCTAAGGTGAAATATACCTGAAAAATCCTCAGATTTACATGTTCACATCTATTCACTTCTGTCCCATGTTAACTTTATTGTCAGACAGGACCACTACACAGGTCAGACAAATGGCAGGTTTACTTGGGTATGTGCCATATATTTCTAGGTGATGTGTATAACATTTTCCCTCAAGTAGAACTGAGGGCCTATGAGTTAAAGTGCTATGTTTATTTCAGGTATAATACTTTGACAAAGTAAACATTTAAAATATTTTCATAATTAAAGCACTCTGGTTCATTAACATTCTGGTTTAGATCTCCCACTTTACAATAATGTACAATAAGAATTCCTCCCAAACTCACCTTTGAATTTGTCTGTGTCTTTGTCTCTGACTAGCCGTACACTCCTTATGCTGAGATCCTTAAAGATAGCATCTATGTCGCCCTGAACCGTGTTAAAAGGTAGATTTCCTACGTATGCTGTATAGGGGGGCTCTGTAGGTAGCTCCTTCTGGCTACGGGAACCATGGCCGCCAGCACTGCCGCGGGACCTAGGAAATGAAACAGACAGAATTCAAGTCTCCCCACGTGTTTCAGTCCCACCAGATCAAGAATAAAAATGCCTTCCAGTTAGCTACACCACCCAGGTGAAACACTCCTCTCTAACGTACAGTAACACCTGGAAATTTTAAGAGTATTCCAAATATTTTATGGAAAAGGTGCCTATTTTTTAGTGACAGAAATGTCCACAGAACCACACAATCTATGTAAACATACATTTCTCTGAAAAGTCAAATCCAAATTTAACATGTGTGCCTAATGGTTTTCTCATATTCACATAGAATCAATATCTGCAAAGTGTTTATTCCCTAAAACCTAAACAAATGCCTTCTCTTACACTCAACAATACTGATACATACGTAAATGGACTGTCCAGAGTCATTGTGTTGGACTTAGGAAGGATTACTGAAGGTGGTGAAGTTTAATGTATTAACAATACAATTGTTTCTTGCTATTATCTGGTTGTGGATAACATTCTAGAAAAATTTTAGGTTTTGTGCAGCAAGTACGGTGTACATACTACTCTCCATTTCCCATGCAACACTTTATTGGGCCCTCAAATATGCATACATGGTGCTTAGCACTTACCCATTTAAATCTCAATGCCATTTCCTCAGATGTAACAAGAATGGTTTATTTGTCCTTGGTTACAGAGCTAAAAAGTGGCAAAAGCAGGGCCTTAATTGTGCTTCTTCATTGCTGCTTTCCAGAGGTATCAGTTTAAATCCCAGCTCTGCCACTTACGAGCCATGTGATCTAATCTCACTTTTTCTAAGCATTTGTTTGTGAAATTGGGTTAATATTAATAAAGACCTTGAATTGAGAAATAACAAATATAAGGTGCTTCAAGCACTGCCTAGCAACAGACAGTATATATGTACAGAGTAACAAGCAGTAATTATCGTTGCCACCTACAACCTGAAATTAAAAATGTTTTACAGATAATAAATGAGGCCATTTGTCCAAATCCACAGAACATACCACACCAAGAGTGAACCCTAATGTAACTAGACTGTGGGTAATAATGACATTATCAATGCAGAGGTCCACTGTAACAAATGTACTACTTACTCTGCAAGCTGGAGAGGCTGTGCATGTGCAAGGGCAGGGGGTATATAGGAGCTTTATAATTTCTGTTCCTAAAGTACTCTACAAAGTTCTATTAAAATGAACAGGAAGAGGAACTATACTTTACATCAACAAGAATGTCAGCTAGTAAATGTGGATGAAATCATCTATTGATAATTAGAAAATCACTACTCTGCAATGCAGGTAGCAGTAACTGGTTCAGGCCAGGCTCAACAACAGAAGCAAAAACTACTAATAAAACTTTTTTTGGGAATAAGATATTCACATGATCTCAAATTATCACTCCAAAGATGATTAATTTCAAGGGGGCAAAAAGTTCTTTCTCAAATGGAAAAATCTGGCAGTCACCACCTCAACCAGGTAATTGAACTTAATACCACAAATAATGGAACAAGCCTACATTATATCATATGCCTTCTATATTGGTGCAGATTCTTTAAATATGTCATCCAGGAAAGACAAAAAAGGCAGAGAGACTAATAATGAAATATGAAAACCAGTGCTATGGACCTGGCTAGTGTGGCACAACGGATTGGGCGCCAGCCTATGACCCAAAAGGTCACCAGTTCAATATGCCTGGGTTGTGGGCCAGGTCTCCAGCTGGGGTCATGCAAAAGTAAACTGATTAATGTTTCTATCCCTCTCTTTTCCCCTCCCCCTCTAAAATAAATAAAATAAAAAAAATAAGAGAGAGAGAGACCCCCAATGCTGCGTGTGATCTTTGGATCCTGAAACAAATAGCTTTAAAAGAAAAGGAGATGGAGAAATTTGAATATGGTATGTATAGAATATTGTATCAATGTTAAATTTCTTACGAGTGATAACTGGTATTGCAGTCAGTAGAATGCCCCCATTCTCAAGAGACTTAACATAGTCAGGGATGAAGTGTCAAGGCAGACTACATTTACTGTATTTTTCAAAGGGTTCAGCAGAAAGGATAAGTGAGCATGTAAGTATACACAAAACAACAGTGAAACTTGTTAAAAATCTACCAGAGTCCATTGTGTCATTCCTTCAACTTTACTGTAGATCTGAAAAATTTTCAAAATAAAATGTTTGCAGCACACAGGAGAAAAAATTAAAAAGGGAGGTAAAAAGAAATACTTAAAGTATTTGGTAATATTCTTAAAAAAACTTTTTTAATTTATTGATTTTAGAGGGGGACAAATGGGGAGAGAGAAATATCAATCTGTTTCCCACTTATTTATGCATTCATTGGTGAATTCTTTTATGTGCCCTTACTGGGGATTGAACCCATTCCCATGGTGTATGGGGATGATGCTCTAAATCAGCTGAGCTATCTGGCCAGGGTTTAATATCATTTTTTCTTTAAAGAGATATTTTAATGATTATGCTATTACAGTTGTCCCATTTCCCCCTCCCCTTTAATCCCCTCCACTGCCCCTCCTCCCAGCATTTCCCCCCTTCCCCTTAGCTCATGTCCATGGATTGTACACATAAGTTCTTTGGCTTCTCTATTTCCTGTACTATTCTTAATCTCCCCCTGCCTATTTTATACCTACTATTTATGCTGCTTATTCCCTGTACCTTTTCCCCCATTCCCCCCAGCTCAATCTCCATTTCTGTGATTCTGTTCCTGTTTAGTTATCTGCTTAGTTTGTTTTTGTTTTTTAGGTTCAGTTGTTGATAGTTGTGAGTTTGTCATTCTACTGTTCATAGTTTTGATCTTCTTTTTCTTAGATAAGTCCCTTTAACATTTTATATAATAAGGGCTTCGTGGTGATGAACTCCTTTAACTTGACCTTATCTGGGAAGCACTTTATCTGCCCTTCCATTCCAAATGACAGCTTTGCTGGATAGAGGAATCTTGGATGGAGGTCCTTGGCTTTCATGACTTTGAATATTTCTTTCCAGCCCCTTCTTGCCTGCAAGGTTTCTTTTGAGAAATCAGCTGATAGTCTTATGGGAACTCCTTTGTAGGTTAACTGTCTCCTTCTCTCTTGCAGCTTTTAAGATTTTCTCCTTATCTTTAATCTTGGGTAACTTAATTATGATGTGTGTTGGTGTGTGCTTCCTTGGGTCCAACTTCTTTGAGACTCTGAGCTTCCTGGATCTCCTGGAAGTCTATTTCCTTGGCCAGACTGGGGAAGTTCTCCATTTTTTTCCCCCCAAATAAGTTTTCAATTTCTTGCTCTTCCTCTTCTCCTTCTGGCACCCCTATGATTCGGATGTTGGAACGTTTAAAGTCGTCCTAGAGGTTCCTAAGCCTCTCCTCATTTTTTGGAATTCTTGTTTCTTCATTCTGTTCTTGTTGAATGTTTGTCTCTTTCTTCTGCTCCCAACCATTGATATGAGTCCTGGTTTCCTTCCCTTTACTGTTGGTTTCCTGTACATCTGTCTTTATTTCATTTTGTGTAGCCTTCATTTTTTCCTCTATTTTGTGACCATACTCAACCAATTCAGTGAGCATTCAGATTACAAGTGTTTTGAACTCTGCATCTGATAGGTTGGCTATCTCTTCATCGCTTAGTTCTGTTTTGGGAGCTTTGATCCGCTCTTTCACTTGGGCCATATTTCTTTGTCTCAGCCTGCCTGTTAAGTTGGAAGGGATGGAGCCTCAGGTATTCACTAGGGCCGGGCAACCCAGGCCAATGAGCTGTGATGCTGTCTGTGGGGGTGGGGTCCGAGAGGAAACAATGCTGCTTGCCTGGCTCTCCACCAGCTTTCAGTCCCTTCCCCTGCTACCTACAAGCAAGTTGGGCCCTTCTAGTGCTGATTCCCAGGTGGGTGGGTTTGTGTACGTTCTAGGACCCCATGGGTTTCTCCAAGGGACTCTTCTGTGAAGCTGGGAGTTACTCCTGCCACTGCAACCCCCACAGGTTTTTACCTCCAGATGTTTTGAGTCTTTCTTTTCCCTGCAATGGAACCTGGGTTCCGCAATCTGTCTCACTCCCCAGCTGTTCCTCTGGTTTATTTGCACACAAATGTGGGACCTCCTGGTTTGCCACCTTGTCACGCTTCCTCTCTGCCACTCCTACTTGTCTGGATGGATGTTTCTTCTTTAGCTCCTTGGCTGCTGGACTTCCATAAAGTTCAATTTTCTGGCAGTTCTGGTTATTTTTGTTTTTTAATTTGTTGTTTTCCTTCTTTTGGTTGTGTGAGGAGGCAAAGTATATGTATGTACTTATGTCACCATCTTGGCCAGACCTTAAATATCACTCTTTAAGACATTTTTATGAAGCAGAATAACCAAACCACGATGTAATGCTTAGAGGGTAAAAATTTTAAGTTTAATGACTCAGAAGTCTGCTACTTCCAATAGGAAGTACTATTATTCTGCATTCTGTTGTAAGAACATCAGAAAAATAGGTTTATAAGTGAACTGCATCCTACTTCCTCCTCTCTAAAGCTTAGCAAATGCGACTCATTTTTGCATCTGTAACACTGACAGTACATAACACTAGTGGTACTATCTTAATAACCATAAAACCTAAAATTATTTTCAGTAAGATACTCTTTGGAACTGGATACTGAAAATATAAACATATGGAAAAACATCAAAACGGAGAATGAATAATAATAAACAGTTTAAATTCATTCATGCAACATTCACTAAATATCTTGATGGAAAACAGTCCCTGGCCTTCAAGCAGCTCACAACTGAGTAGCACCTTATAACCAACAAATAACTATATGCAAACATGCATGTTTGTGTATATATGTACATATATAGTAAATTCTCACTTATTATTAATACTCTGCAACTTTAAGCAAAACATGTAACAAAACCAATTTCACCATAGGCTAATTAATATAAACCAAGAATTCAGTTCTTATAGCATCACATTGTTGTTAAGAAACCGTGTTGAATGAAGTTATATGAGTAGCTGTTGTATAATATATGCAATTGTTTTTAGAAAATGTTTTTAGAAAATGTAAG